GCACCCTGCCCACCTTTTTCCATTTTTGGAAACCCTCCCTTATATACACTTACTTCTGTATATGACACGAATAACCAATCGGAAGCTCAGAATGTCTCCCTAGTGACTTTCTCAGCCATCTTAACGGGCATGCCACCATTTCTTTCTTTTGAACCAATACTTCAAGGAGATAGGTTGTCTTTAGCCTGCTTGAAATTTCATATTGTTTTGCAATAAAATACATCTTAGTTACTAAGCTTGTTAAGTTATAGTTGAATTCTATGGTATTTATGTAGAATTTGTGATTTTTTTAGTTATTCAAATGTATATATAAAACCTAAACAAAAAATCTGTTTCATATCTTCCATGCGCAAAATGTTTAAAAGCTTAGCAACCTACATCAAGCAGAAACCGAGTACAAAGGTCATAACTAGAAGAGATAATTGTTTGCTTTAATTCTTTAGTTACTGTTCTACATTTTAAGAAAAATAAGTTTAAGAACTTATTTCAAGATAGCAATAATCTATATACATATATATTGTATAATTATTCAAATGTGACTGTATTTTACAAAATATTAGTCTACTAAAACAAAGCCAAGATAAGTTACTTTGTAAAGATCAAAGGAAAGTTTTATGTTATTTGATACGGTAACATGAGTACACATGAGCCGGGTCATTGTAACTTTTGTATTGTTAGCTAGGCATGGCTGAGAGGTCAATATAATAAAAATAAGAAATATATATATAAATATATAATGTTACAAGATTTAAGCTATTTAGTATAAACATTTATGTTTTCGTGTTATAATTTGTGTTCATTTTAGAATGAAAAAGGCATAGTTTATATTTATTTCCTAATTTTTTATGATGGTTGTGAGATCAGTCAAATCTACCGAACCCATACAGATATTAATTACTGAAAATAACAGATAAAATATGAAGTTCTTTCTTAAGAAATGCTTGATAACTATCTGGACATTATAAAGATTTTGCATGTGAAATTTCAAAATTTTCTGATGCATAAAACTATTTGTAATCTTAAAATGAATATCACTTTCCATGATAGATAGGCAAAATGCGAAAAGAAAAAAAAAGACACGAGAAAAACATTGTTTTACAAACTTTATGACTTAGAAAAAAATTTGATATTTTGCATATGAAAGCATTGTAATATTTACTGATAATTGGCTAAATTTTTTTAACATTCACTTACTAATTTAAAAGTTATAGCATAAAAATCATAACAAGCACAAAATAGTTACGAGGTCGGTCCCAGGGACCGAGCCCATGCTGAAGGAGTTAAATGAAAGAAGAAGATAAGGCATTCATTGTTATTTTGTAATACCAAAAGTATAGATGCAGAAAAGGTAGTTTGCAAAATAAACTTCTGTTTGGTTCAGTGATCACCATGTTTGTTGGCATTTTACTTTATTGTTTACAGATTCAGTACATGCTTTTATGCTTAAAAACATATATTATTGTTTTAACAAATTTCATGAGGTTGTGATAATTGGAAATGTATTTTATAGCCACAGAATTGTTAACTGATGAAGGAGCTTACCTTATAGCCTATTTGTCTACTAAGGAAACATTTGTATTTGTGTATGGGTAATAACAGATGTGTGTGACTTTAATCCTTCCCTTGAATACAGAGTGTACCTGGTGGATATAATGCTCTTAGGAGGATGTATACTGATCTACAAGAACCAATGCTTAGTGCTGCTCAAGAACAACTTGGTGGAAATCCATTTGCTGCTTTGATAAATAACATTAGTGAGGGTAAAATAACTTTCATAGATAATTTTTTTTAATTTAATCCATTTGATATATCATTTCATTTCCTGCTTGAAATTGAAATTTGTTGATTGTTTTTTTAGTGTGACAAATTTCTGATTTACATATGATTTGTTAATTTATTTTAATCATCACAGTATTTTGTGTATTAGGAATGATCAAATATTTTAACTATATCATTCCATATGGCACCTGAGTGTATGATATACATGAAGTTTAAAGTGTTTTCAAAAATTAGCCTTTTATTCTTAGGAGATTTTTTTAAATTGTTTAGCTTTTATTTACTTTATTAGTCACCTTACACTTTAAGGTGGGTTGATTATGCCGATCCACCAATAAAGCTATTAAATCAAACTGCATGTTTAAGTAACGTTCCCTGTGTTTCTCGCACAGTTATGAAAGAAGTGATACATCTTGCTTCTTTTGCAGATGATAATTGTTAATTTTATTTCTTTGTTTACTAAACTTAAATTTTAAAAACTCTTCAAAAATTTATAACTTTAAGTTTGATAATATTTGGTTTAAAACCCAAGAAATTATTCAAAATTTAAAAACTGCCCTGTTTTGATTTTCATATAGTTGTTCTTAGTTGTACAGTACTGGAAGTTGAATAATATCAGGAAAAGGTAGTGAACAAAACTAAAGCAATTTGTTTTCCTATTGATATTTTCAGGACAAGCTGATTCTGTACAACAAGGAACAGAAAATAGAGATCCTTTGCCTAACCCCTGGGGTTCTAATGGTGACACCACAACCCACACTACCACAACAACAACTAGCAGCACTGTCTCTTCCACTTCGGGGCAAAATACTGCTGTGGGAGGAGCTTTCTTTGGCTCTCCTGGCATGCAGAGTTTGATGCAGCAGTTAATAGAAAACCCACAACTAATGCAGAATATGATGAGTGCCCCCTACATGCAGTCAACACTGCAGGCTCTCTCAGCTAATCCTGAAATGGCACAACAAATTGTAGCCAATAATCCACTCCTATCAGGCAATCCCCAACTTCAAGAGCAAGTTCAAAATATGATGCCCATATTTCTTCAACAGATGCAGAACCCAGAAATTCAGTCACTGATGACAAATCCACAAGCTCTTAGAGCTATAATGGAGATCCAACAAGGCATGGAGCAACTACAACAAGTTGCACCAGGAGCTTTCAGTGTGTGAGTCCCCTTTGTTGTACAATAATCATAGCTGAAGTAAAATGTACTACCATATTAAATAATGCATGATAAGTTATTAACGAGACAACAGGCTCATCATTTCGATTTAGTTAACTCGTATACAAGTACAATCTTTTATCATATTTAAAATAATCATTTTTCTCCAGATAAAACAAAGGTTATAAGGTTCTTACAGTGTGTATTAAAGTTTCTTTTAGAACACAGTAATTAGATTTAGAAGCAACAACGAAGATTACTTGGAGATTTTGGTTTGAATAAGTACATTACAGATTTCTTATCTTTTGTAAAATGTGGTGAAAATAAAACTATAACACACATGTAGAATCATTAACCAGTTTGTCTACTGTATAATATTGAATAATAAGTTAGGTGCAATGCCATAATATTAATTTAGTTTACTATAATATTCAAAAAATCCCCTAAATCTTACATTCATCTCATTATAAGAGGCCTAACTGTATTTCTTTAGTTTGCTGACCCAAGCTATGCTAATAAGTCTTGAATAGGCAAAATTGCAGTCCACAGCAGAGGGTACAGACAATCAAGAAGTGCATTAGGCCTCTACATCACAGATTATCTTTTCAGTTTTACTTTTGATGAAAAAGAAATAAGTAACATACATATAGAATCATTACACTATTTTTCTGCTGAATAATATTGAATAATAAATTAGGCATAATGCCATATTATTCATACACCTAAATTAATTTAGGTCACTATATTGTGAATTAAAAAAATCCTAAATCTTTTGGTGTGTAATTTTCATGTATAGGGCAATAATCAGATTTAGAAAATGCAACAAAGACACCTGCAGCTTTTAAGTTTGAAATTAGAAAAATCTCTGTTTTGTTATGGTACTTACTGAAATGTTTTATCCTTTTTTAATTCAGCTTTCCAGGAAGTCGGCCTCCTAATGCCAGTACTACTACTACAACTGCATCAAATGTTACCAGTACTGTTACTGCTACTACAACTGCAGCAAATGTTACCAACACTGCTGCTACTACAGTGAATACTTCCAGCACAACTGCCTCTAGTAGTACTGGAAACAGTGGTCAAGATCCTTTCAGTCAGTTTATGTCTCAAATGGTGTCAGCCATGGCCCAGGGTGGAAACAATGTAAGATTAGGACAGGCTTTTTGCTAAGATTTACTTTTTTTGTCATGAATCTTCATAGTAAAGAGGCTATTTGTAATAAAAGGTCTGTACAGAAGAGTACACTTTAAGCTTGCATATACCCAAATTGTTAGTTCTGTTAACCATTCTTGTATTCAGGAGTTGAAAAATGTTGAAAAGTTTACATATTTTTATATCATTACATGTTGTGAATGAACAATTAGAGCTGGGCATTGTATCAAATAATTGATTACCTATGAGCAGTGAATACATCAGTTAATGTCACATGAAATAATCAATTAATAAAAATTACTGTTTGTGATTATTACTGTTTTCAGTTATCTCATCAGTGGATTAATTGAAATTCTGATTAAATTGATTATTATTAAAATAATCAACTAATCAATATTAGGATTTCTGATCATTATTATTTTTGATAACTCCAACTATCCATTTAATCATAATATTGCCTTTATATTTATTTTTTATTACCAACATTAGGGTTTCTCCTTGCCACAGGTTTTTCACAATTCTGATTTTCCAGGATAAAATCAGTAATTATCCCAGGATATCCTGGTTTCTTTTAAATACATATATATATATATATATGGACAAATAAAGATAACTTCCAATATGTGATGTCAGCTATACTACTTAGGTATGAAAAATAAAACAGTTCCAGTATAATTTTATTTAACCGTATTGTTCAAAGACCATGTCACTGTGTTTGTTGACTCACATTCAAAATGTTATTGAACTACTATTTTATGAATTTATGTCAATAAGTTTGGTATCAAATTGTAGATTATAATTCAAATTTTAGTATTATATATTAGTTAATTTCTTAATTTAAAAGTGAATATTAAAAAGAAAATCCTAAATATCGATTTTTGTGTGTTACATGGTAAGTTGAATGCAGCATTGGTTCAAATTAGACATTTGTGATGTCCAAATACAGACTCTGTAGTTTCTTACAAATTAGGAACTCAAATTACTGATATTGACAAGATAGAAACTAAAATAAGAACCTCGTATCTCTTATCTTTCCTGAGATATTGCTACATTTACTCAATCAAACACAGTGACCCCGCCCACCTCTTTCCATTTTAGGAAACACTTGCTTACATACACCTGCTTCTGTCTATGACATGTGAGTAACCAATCAAAAGCTCAGAATGCCCTCCTAGTGGCTTTCTCAGCAAATTTGAAGTATTCTGGCACCAAATTCTTTCTTTTTATGCTAGAATACAAATGGTAAGGTAAGACTTTAGTGAGCTCGAAATTTCATGTATTTTAGACCCAAATACAGTTTAGTTACTCAGTTTGATACATTATTGGGAAATTCTTTGGTGCTGATATAGTAAGTTATGATTTTTTTGGTTATTCAACTATATATATATATATGAAACCTATAAAACATTACTTCATTTCACATCCTTCACATGCAAAATTTTATAAGGCTTAATAACCTACGGCAAGCAACAAACGAGTACAAAGTTCGTAACTAGAAGAGATAATTTATTTGCTGTTTTATGTTTTAAAAAAAATAAGTGTAAGAATTTATTTGTAAATAGTAATAATGTTTATACATATATAATGTATTATTACTGAAATGTGACTGTATTTTACAAAATACTAGTCCACTAAAATACAGCCAAGATAGGTCACTTTGTAAAGGCCAGTTTTATGTTCTTGGTATGGTAACATGAGTGCATGTGCACTGCATCATTGCAACTTCTGTAATGTTAGCCAGGCATTGCTGAAAGGTCAGTGTAATAAAAATAATATGAATATATAAATGTATAATTTTATGAGATTTAAGCTATTTAGACTAAACATTTATGTTTTCATATTATAATCTGTAGTCATTCTAGAATGAAAAAACATAATTTATATTTCTTTCCTAATTTTTATGGTGGTTACAAAGTCAGTCAAATCAATCCAAAAGCACAGAGATACAGTAGTAAAAATAGCAGATAAAAATATAAAGTTTTCTTCTAAAAAAATATTTGATAATTATCTGGATGTCATAAAGATTTCACATGTGAAACTTGAAAATGTTCTGATGCATAAAAGTATTTTTAATCTTAAAATCAGTATTACTTTGGATGTTGGACAGTCAACATTCGAAAAGAAAAAAGGCATGATAAAAACATTGCTTAAGAAATCATAAAACTTAATAAAAGAAATCTGATATTTTGTGTATGAAACCTTGTAATGTTTACTGATAATCTGCAAAATTTTGTAAAGATAAATGTACATTTCAAAAATCATAGTATAATTACTTTTGTGGTTACAAACTGGGTGGATCACACCAACCCATAATGATAGAGTTGAAAAGTACTTCCACATATTATAACATTTATATATTTAACTTTTACCTTGTAAGTTAAATATTCCATTTAAAATAAAAAAGTCTTTGCAAAGCAAATGAAAGAGAGAGAGAGAAAGAAAACAAAACAAACGTTATGAATTATCAACTCACAAGTACAATACTAATCCTTTTTATTTTTAAAGTAGCTCATTAGTAAGCAAACACAATCAATACACAGGCATTAAGTTTCATTCGCATCTTGGTTATAAAGAGTCCCGCAGCTGAAAATGTTCTCTCAGGCACTATGAATGTCAGCAGAATGGACATCAAAGCATCGAAAAGTAGGTCTAAATTTTGTGTTCGTTCTCCCTTTTCTTTGAACACCTTAAAATATTTTCTGAGATGTTTACTCGTGATTTCATCCTATTTTTTCCTTATCTAAACCTTTTTTGTTGAAACGTCAAGTTTTTCTGCGAGTGTCATTGTTTAATGCTGTGATGAAACATCATCCTCTGTCTCTGATTGAGAGTAAAACTTGCTGGAATCTTCAGCTCTTACACGATCAAACATTCTTGCTAGTATTTTCTTTGCCAGCACTAATAATGTTAACTTTGCCACTAATACTGGTAGTACTCCTTGCCCACCTTTGTGATTAATGTATAGCTTTCTACAGTTCAAGTATTTTGTAAGGCTAACCAAAATTTTGGTCCTCATTTCTTTGATTCTTTTGTAGAGATTTCTGCATTATTATTTTTTTTAACTGGAGAACTTTGCTCACTCAGCTCATCAAGAATAAACGTACATACTCCCTCTACACTTAAAAAAATTGTTTCCCCTCTGCTTCCTAGCCTCTCTGCTCCCATTTTTACTGGCTGTAATGTAGAAACTGTATCATTAATTGATTCATATTCTCTTTTGGTAATATTCTGCTCAATTCCACAGTTGATCGTAGCTTTAGCAATAGATATTTTTACCTCCAAGAGATGTTGTAACATACCAAACAAGCTGTTCCACCTTGTTTTTGAGTCAAGTTTCAACACAAGTACCTTACTATGTTCACTTCTAACATATTTGTATAATTTATATTGCTACAATCAACTTCATCAGTTGAATCAACAAATATGTTAACATCCATTGCCATACCAGTTGTTATGTTAATTTTTCCATCTTCCACCTCTTCGAATTTTAACTCAGCTGATTCACCAGACTCATATGTTGATGCTTCAATCTCTTATAATGTTTCAGTTTTCTTGTATAAAACATCACATAAAGCTAAAAGTGTATTCTATGAGTGTAACATATGTGATGGTGAGTCTGACATTGATTGTGAATTAACCTACCAAATTTAACCATTACACTTGTGCCATATGTAACACATGCTGCTATATCTCTTTCTATTGAAAAATCAAATTCAGCTAACTTATTTTCTACAGCCTCAATGGAAGTTTCTGCAGGCATAGAACCAAAAGACCTCACCATTCCCAAATTCCAAAACTTATCACTTGCATATACATTGATATTCAGGTAATGGTGATTTTTTTAGTGATGTATACTCATCAAGAGAGAGGTTAAAACTGGACCCTTTGCTGAACCTTGTGTTAATTTCTAAATTTGCTCACTCTTTAGCTACATCATATTGGCTCAGATATTTTGGCAATAAGAAACCCTTTTCACATGATTTTCTGATGAACTCACTCTTTGTTATAGCATTTATCGAAAATCCATCAACAGCTGCCAAGTTACCTGTAATTTCTTCCCTTGTTTCTTCCTCATGAACATAGTTATCTTATGTTTAACAGACTGTCTTTTCACATCACTTGATCCACTGTCATCTTCAGCAGGATGGTTGGCTATAGGAGGTCTCTCGATTGAATGTTTATTCCTTAAATGACAAATCATTCCACTAGTGGACCATCCTCTGCACAGAAGAACTGCATTACATTTTTGACATTTTCTGGATTCTTGCTTTTTTAAGTTTTTCAAAGTATTGCTATGCAAATGATTCATTACTTCGTGGTGTGTCATCCATATTGTTTGTTAATTAAGGATGGTAAACTTGTGAGTCATTGCCATTAAGTACAAGAGATGTATCTTCATCTTAAAAATTCTAAATCTGTGATGTAAACATATCTAAGTGTATGAATATTTTATTTCAGAAAGGGCTGTTACAAACCTTTCCCAAAAGTAATAGTTTTTTGGTGGCATCATGCTACGTACGAAATATAGTTCTGATGCATACTGTTCCATCTCGACTTTACTTTGTTTGATGTTTACATGACATGCTGATTTGCATATTAAAAATAATTTTTATATAACGTACCCAACCTGTCATATAAAACTTGTCGGACTGAACTTACAATTTTTTATTACGTTTATTGGGTGATTCTTTTAGCTCTTAGTTTAATCTTTTGAAGCACCATGGGCTCTGTGTTTCAATTTGTTTCAGTCATCTGCCTGAATTTTAAACTATAAGCATAGTTCTACTTTTTCTGTTCACACAGAAACTGAGTATTTGATGTCAGATGGTTATAGCTTTTAGGATATAAACTTTGTGCCATTCAAGAAGTTTCCAAACTTTTGTTACAAAAGTGATGATATTGAGGTATGATGAGAATAAAAATGATTTCTCATATATCAGAAATAGTAATTTGGTTACTTCTTTTTTTTGCTAATTTGAGTGTTTGAATCAAGCTCAAATCAAAGTGGTTGAAAATGATAAAATTTGTAACATATGTTTGAGTCTTAATTCTAGTATAAAAGGCATAACATTGTTTTAGTAGATGAATCAGTATTGTCTTCTTTTAGACGCAGCTGCCACCTGAAGAAAGATACAGAACACAGTTGGAACAACTAACAGCCATGGGGTTTATCAACAGAGATGCTAATTTACAAGGTAGGTCATTTCCATTTCATAGTTAAAACTAAAAGCTTGGTAGGTTTGTAGCTCCAACAGTAATTTAGAAAATTATGACTAATACTTTTTTATGTCAGTTCCTTGAAACTGTCTAGGTAAAAACAATTTAGCTTACAGATAATCAAATAAGATGTACGTGTTTAGGGTGAGTATCTAAGCTACAACTGTGATAAGGATTGTATGCAGGATTCAGTTAATAGAATATAAACATGTGAAACATTCTTTTTTTTTAGAACATTTGTATGATTTATACATAATATGTGACTATTAAGCATTAAGGTGAGTTCATTAGATAGAAAAAGATTTTTGAGTCTAGGTTACTAACAGAAATTTTAACGTTATGAGAAAATTATTGTTAAGTAGTAATATTTATATAGAAATGCAAAAAAAAGCAGTGTAAATGTAAGAAACACTTCTCTTCTTAACTGCAAGGACAGTTATACTTTCATGATTAATTAAATAATTTTGTAGTTTAAGATTTATTTGTAGTACCAAATATGTTATTCATTCTATATCAATGTTTTTTGCTTTGTTTCCTCCCATTAGCTCTAATTGCAACTTTTGGTGATGTCAATGCTGCGGTTGAAAGGCTTCTGCAGTCCCAGCAGTAGCATTGTTTCTGATTATAGATGAACATCCTCTAAAACAATTTTCAGCAAGATAATATTTTATTGTACAGGACAGTTTAGGTAAAAACCATTTGCTCTGCCTGTACATGTACTAACAGGATTGAGCAGAAAGAACATGGGCAAAATGTTGCACTTCTTATCCCTCTTCTATGAAAGTATTTGTGTTACAGATAGATTAACCCTTTTCATGTTTTGTGTATCTTTAGTGATCTGTTTAGCTGGTATCATGATTTTATAAATTTTCCATTAATTCTGGTCTCTGTAACTAAACTAAAACAATATCTAAAGTAAGACACTACCTGAAGGGTAAGATTAAAAGTGAAACAACTTACATTTTCAGAAGGCAGCAAAGAAAAAAACACAGTATAGTTAATTTTGATTTCTGATTGTTGCTGATGGATAAGTCGTGAGTCTTGGATAATTTATCACTTCATCATCATGAGAAATTTTTTTGTAGTAGCTAGGATGTTACATGCACCATGAGCTTATTTGAGATGTATCTAAAAAATTTGCATGAGGCACCATAAAGCATAATTGAAAATTTTTTTATCAGATGATCACTATTTTATTTCTTGAAATCAGAAGAGTTAATTATATATCAAAGCATCTTATTTCCGTGTAATGTTTGGATTTTTTAGATTTCTTCAACTACACATTAGAAGAATGGTTCTTTTGAGATTAAAATGTACTTCAAAATTCAAGCCCTATGAAATTAAGTGATTGTTTCTATAATGATATACCTATCTCTCATAAGTTGTGTTTAAAGCTATATACTACATAAGACTACTATACATTTTTGTAATTTTTAAGTTTCATTCAAATATGAAAACTGGTAGTGAATGCATTAGTCTTCTTCAAAATAAAATTCTAGGGTTCAAGTACATTACATTTGCTGTAAGAGTAAATAGAATTTTACATTTTTGTTAAAGTGTTAGTCATGTTTATTATGTTCTACACTGTGATTCTGTGTATGCTGAAAATTTATATTGCCAAAAATGTGAATTAATGACATCTAAAAACTGTTGGACAGGGAAGAATTTTAGTAGTCAATGGTATATTTCCATTTGTATTATATACATATTTTCCAGTATTCATATGGCTTAATATTTAGGATTTTTGCTTGTGTAAAAAAAACGTACAGTTTTAAAATGAGCTGCCTTATATTTTTGTCCATCCTTCTCTTTTGTAGTTGATATGCCTCAAAACTAAAACATGCATCCATAATTCCTGTTTCTGTAGAATTCCAGAGAGTTAAAATCATAAGTACATTGATCAAAATTTAAAGTAACTAAAGTTAAAGATGTTTTATTTGTTGTTCAGACATTGAACAAGTTAATGAAAGATATGTGTGGTAACAATGCTGATATAGATTAGATTCATAAAAGCTGCAAGTTTCCCAGACTCAGTATTCTAAACTCCTGCAAGCCCTTATTTTTTTATTTTGTTCCATGACTGCTTTCAGTGGGACTAGTGCTTACCTTCCTAAATTAACCTTTAAAAACTAAAAATGTGAACTGAAAGCTAATATAAAGTAGTAATAAAATGATTAATCAAGAAAATTTTATATTTTTTTAGCAATTTGAAATGTTTAATCTGTTGTACAATTGTAATTTTTATATTATGCTTTAACTTCTTACAAAGAAGATTATTACCATCAGTTTGAGGTTGCACTCCCAGACTCCCTAAATCCTTACATTTATAAAAGAGAATCCTAGGAGTTGGGAGATTCTGTTAACCCTTTCTTGAGTGGATGGGTGTCACTCATATTCCCTGATTATTTATTCTAACAGTGGTGATAGTTAACCAAATTGCAGGGAAAATATTATCCAGTGCATTTTCTTGATTAATCTTCATTAAAAACTTATAGAAAGGTGTCTGTACTCAATTGTAACTGTTTACACTTTGGATACTAAATGACCCTTCTTCCTTGATGATAGTGATTCATTCAGACGAACACATACAAAGGGAACTTGATGCAAGTATTTATAAGGTAGGATAAAAGTTTTAATAACAAAGCTATTTATGGAAATTCTTAAATTCTTTACATCCTCCTGCTTATGGATTATTTTTTTAATCATTTAAATTATATAAGGAATACAGATAGTTTAACTACCTTTAATAAAGGCAAAATAGAATGTAAATAAATAAATAAATAAAAGAGCTGGAATCCTGGGATTTGAATCACTAAAGTCCCAAGATTCAGAAAAAGATTTACTACAACACCTACCCTCAGTGTAATAACAGTGATAGGGGAAAAGTACAGCATAAAATGATAATCAAAAATGTTCACAGACTACTTGTATAAGTGTTAAAAGAAAAATAATTTATGCTTGTATATGAGTATCAACGTTAGAGAATGATGTCTGATGTTATCTCAGAGTGCTAACTAATTAGGATATTGGAGATTTGTTTCAAAACATTAGAAATATAAAGAGTGAAAATTAGGGTTGGTGATCAGATAGTAAACTATTAGTTTAATTAAGCGATAAATTCAAGTGAATACGTGGTGTCTATAACATGAGAATAGGAAACATAAGAGTTATTAATACCTTATAGGTTTTATAGCGATAATAGTAAGTTGCTTTTGTTCTTAATTTAGATACTGAAAGTTTTTTGTTAAATCTTTATGATACTTACTCAATCAGTATACAAATTTTGTTCCCCATGTGTGTTCGAAATTTCAAGGTTGTGAAAGAAGGGATTAAAAGAAATTGTTTTTTTTTCAAACAACTATTGAATAAGAAAACATTGTGTATTACCAATTCTTTTAGTTGTTCATCTACACTTGGTATTGTAGAACAAGTAAAATGATGTTTATCTGTCATCCTTCAACAACTTGAACCAAACTTCAAACTGTTCAGTCATACTGTTGGATTCTGTAACTTGACTGCATTCAAATAAATAAATAAATAAATAAAATAATAATGTTTTGCTGTAACAGTGGTGATTTTGATTTATATATGTTTTTGATCATTTATAGTGAATAACATCCACAACAGTTTGTGAATCTTAATAATGTAAACCTGGATTACACAACATCAAACAGCATAGACAAAAAAGCAACAAAATATTTCCTAGCGTGTACATTTGTTTTTACATTTCAATAACGTGCAGTGCTTTGTAACATCGACATTTATTTTGTGGGGCTTGTTATATAAATCATGGAAATCAATGTAATATACACTAAAAATATGTGTAATAAGTATTCTTTACAAAATTATTTAGTATAGTAAATAATACAGGACCAAACATGCTTCTTTCAATTTCTGGAAATATTTTATGAATGTTGTTCCTACCAAGACTAATGCTTGGTGGTTAGGATTCTCGACTTGCAATCTGCGGGTCGCGGACTCGGATTCCAGGCATCGAACATGCTGTGTGGCCATTATGATGTGACGGGTCATTCCCATTATATGGTGGTTAAAGAGTAACCCAATAGTTGATGGTGGGTGCTGTTGACTAGTTGTCTTCTCTCTAGATTACAAAATCAACCAGGTAATTGTTATTATATAAAAACTTTGTTTACACTTATATTAATTCATGTTTACTTATCTTTATTGTGAATAAGATTTTTTATTTATATTTCCACCTGGTTCTTTCAAAACTAATATTTAGTTGATTCTAATATAAATAACTATACTCATTACAAACTAAAACTGAATGTTTATTGGAAAGTTAGATAAAATAATATCTGACAGCGCGTTCATAAAATTGCTTATAAATGAATATGTCAACGTAGTTTCACCTGTCACATACTTTTAAATTCTTTGAAAGACAATAGCATGAGCATTCTTTCAGCAGCCATGTAAAAATAAAAGTCGTGATATTACACGGTTTGTACAAGCAACTCCAACTACGTTGTATATACTGTTAGGAATAATTTCAGTTTTGATGTTAAATAATGCAATTACAGGAACAAATACAGCTTCTCCTGATCTAAGATCACTTAGGATCAAGGAAATGATGATGTTAGAAAATTGTCACACAAGAATCACTACTGAAATTATGATGTGTATAATAATCTGTAAACCGAAATATTTTTCCTCCTTTGTTGAGTAAAGTGGTCTGTTTGACAGAATCGTTGTGTAAAATAGTAACCTTTTTTATATAAGTTACCATGACCAAAATGAAAAGTTAATTTTGCCAACTTAATTTGGGGAATAATTGATTTTGATTTGGGATAAAAGTTTTAGCACTTCATTCTATTTGAATTATAAAATATGTTACACCAGAATAAAAAACTTAGTGGAAAGTGGAGAAATATTTAAAATACAAGAGATAACCTTTTGTTATATATTCTTGAACCGAATAATGAAAGCATTGTGTTGAATAAAACAATTCGTTTTATATAATATTGTTGTAACGTGTTCTATCATTGTATGGGTTCTGTGGGGTTATTCAATAAAAATAATCACACTGTAGGCATAACGTTATAAACAACATTTCAAAAGAAACTGATACTAATGTACGCCTAACCTATAAACTTGCAAACCTGAGTTTATAACTTTTGCAATTTTTGTATTCAAAGTGAAATTGTTTCAGAAAGTAAACTTCTTACTAAAATATTTTTAAGATGTTGTAAAATGAATTATTAAAATAGTTGATAATCCTGTCCCAAATATAATAAATAACGCATACTATATCACAGAGTATTGTTTTTATTTAGAAATTTTAAACACAGTCATATAATCGAGTACGCTGTTGTATTTAGAATTACTACTTATTGGAAAAATACGACGCAGTAGATTAATAGCTATGTAATATATGCATGCCGCAAATTTGAACGTATGGTAACAATGATATAATATCACCATTAAATGTAAAGTGGATGTAATTACTGTGTAAATAAGCGTAATCGGTTGCACGCAGTTTACAACAAATACATAGTAAGAAATTACTTGTAGCAACTTTATTAGTGTGGGACTTTCTAATATCATAGATGAATGTTTTTGTTAAGTGAGATCTATTCTGTTGGTCTTTCTGCTTTAAGGGCATCCTTCCTACATTTAGCTACTTCTGATAAAACATCACATCGTTCGGTTGACCGTCTTTATATAATATAGGTGTTCTCTAGTTTGATGACGAGGAACCCACTTTGAGGCAATGTTGTTTGAAGGTAGCATGAATGGGTAATAAAGAAAACTATTATTACAAGGTTTTGTCATATTTATTTTCATTTCCTACTTCGTTAACTTTGTAACAATAAATTTTCTTCATTATCCATTCAAGCCGTTTTTCAAACTTTTAAAGGTTACTTTGGGATATTACACAGCGTGATTACAAAAACTCTTTCTTTTATTGTGGAAGATTTGTTAAAATCACGGAGAACTAACAACATCAGGATCTACAGGTTAAGGTTTTATTAATATTATTTTTAGATGACTATATTTTGTACACGAAAGTATGTGTTAATACTACAGGAATAACTTCTTTGTTACGTGTTTAAATATGTGTGTGTGTGTGTGTGTTTATGTATGTGCCTGATGGTCAAGAACAGCATGCAGAATTTTCTCAATATATAAAATATTTTTATAAAATTTGAAAGTTGTTTACACAGTGGTATCACCATTACATAAGAGGTTCAGCTGAAAAAATATATTTATATAACAGCCAAATGTTTGTCTGTCACGCTCTGTATCCATAGAAAACATAAAAATGCTTCTTTTCAAGTGTACATTACAGGAAAATTGTTCATTTTTTTGCAATTCCTAAAAATATCATATCAATATCAACGTTGATCCGTCAGTTTTTGTATGTGCTGAACGTCCATTCTGAGAAAAATATATCTTTTTTGTGAGGGAGTATCACGAAAGAAAAAACTCTGATTAAATGAAATATTTCGAAGATTGGAGCATTAACGTAAAAACCGAATAAAGAGAAAAACGTGTTTGATTGTATGTTTATTGTTCGGTTTATATTGTTCCATGTCTACTTGTTTGTTAATTTCCCGTAGAATTTCTTTCCGAGAAACTTCAGCGATACAAGT